GGGAAATTGCAAAAAAAACCAGAAATCCAACAAAAACCCCAATCCCGCATGGTCAAGCACCAGTGCTGCCCCGGCTGCGGCCACTTCTGCACCGCTGTGAGTGGGGGAAATCCCAAAATATCCAAAATTCCCATCAAAATCCCAAAAAACCCCGAGAAAATCCGATAGAAAATGGGGAAATTGTAAAAATCCCATTAATCCCCAATCCTGCATGGTCAAGCACCAGTGCTGCCCCGGCTGCGGCCACTTCTGCACCGCCGTGAGTGGGGGAAATCCCAAAATATCCCAAATTCCCATCAAAATCCCAAAAATCCCATCAAAATCCCAAAAAATCCCATCAAAATCCCAAAAAACCCCGTGAAAATCCGATAGAAAATGGGGAAATTGCAAAAAAACCAGAAATCCAACAAAAACCCCAACCCCGCATGGGCAGGCGCCGGAGCTTTTGGGGACACTTTTAATTGTCCCCAAATCCCTTTATTGATCCATAGGCAATCTTTACGATTCTGGGGTCACTTTATGACATTTTATAACATTTTAATGACATTTTAATGACATTTTATGACACTTTAATGACACTTTATGACAGTTTATGACATTTTAATGACATTGACATTTTAATGACATTTTAATGACACTTTATGACATTTCAATGACATTTTAATGACACTTTATGACATTTTATGACATTTTAATGACGACATTTTAATGACACTTTACGACATTTCAATGACATTTTAATGACACTTTATGACCTTTTATGACATTTTAATGACATTTTATGACATTTTAATGACATTTTATGACATTTTATGACACTTTATGACGTTTTAATGACACTTTATGACATTTCAATGACATTTTAATGACACTTTATGACATTTTATGACATTTTATGACGTTTTAATGACATTTTAATGACGTTTTATGACATTTTAATGACATTTTATGACATTTTAATGCCATTTTATGACATTTTAATGACATTTTATGACGTTCTAATGACATTTTATGACACTTTATGACATTTTGTGACACTTTATGACATTTTAATGCCATTTTAATGACATTTTATGACACTTTATGACATTTTAATGACATTTTATGACACTTTATGATACTTTATGACATTTTATGACACTTTATGACATTTTAATGCCATTTTAATAACATTTTAATGCCATTTTATGACATTTTAATGCCATTTTATGACATTTTAATGACATTTTATGACATTTTAATGACGTTTTATGACACTTTATGACATTTTATGACACTTTATGACATTTTAATGCCATTTTAATGCCATTTTAATGACACTTTATGACAATTTAATGCCATTTTATGACACTTTATGACATTTTATGACATTTTAATGACATTTTATGACACTTTATGACATTTTAATGCCATTTTAATGCCATTTTATGACATTTTAATGCCATTTTAATGCCATTTTAATGACATTTTATGACATTTTAATGCCATTTTAATGCCATTTTCCCCCGTTGCCCCCAGGGCACCTTCCTGGAGTGCCACCCCGACGTGCGCATCGGGCACCGCTTCCACCGCGCGTGCGTCTCGCGCCTCGGG